ATACTATTACACAATCCTGCAATAGTGGTGATGTATAGATAGATACACAGGCTGAATGGTTTTGGGTGGGAGAGTGGGCGTATACCCAAGAGATATAAAAGTTTGATAGAGGATATTTCTACATGGGTATATTTTTTACCTTTGCTGCAAATCTATCCATGAATGTGGTAGATCACACAGGGAACAAAGTAATGAAAATTTCTTAGATGTTACCAAACACCTTGAGGGAATGAATTGGTGGCCTGGGAGCCCAGGATCATAGTGTTGGGGGATACCATGGTCAGTTGGCTTAACAGGGTCCACAGAGACAGTGCTCTGTACTCTATTTTGCTGAGTAGTAACTGAAGCCTTAAAAACGTATGAGCGAACATCTAAGGTGAAACAATTTTTCTCTAACTGTTTGGAGGAAATAAGAGTGATGACAATTGAAGATGGTTGAAGCCATTTGTCCAACCAACTAATGGACCACATGAACATCAGTTTCCACAACCCTGAGACTAGAAGAACTACATGGTACCCAGCTACTACTACTAGCTGCTCTGAAAGGAATCACATTAGAAGGTCTTGGAAGAGTAGGAAAAAATGTGGAACAAAACTCAAAGTCATAAGAGACCAGGCTTACTGGCCAGAAAGAGACTGGTGAAACCCCAAGACTATGGACCCATAGCCCTTCAGGTCTGGAACTGAACTAACCTCCATGGCTCAATTTTCAGTCAAGCAATAGATAAGTACATATTGGGGAGAGGCAACAACAGTAGCGAGGTACACACACTATAGGATATTCAGCCACTTGAGATCAAAAGGTCAGCATTTGCACAAAGGCAATATTCAGAGGGGTTAGGAAAGAAGGAGGAATGGAAACAAGAAACCAAGAGGACGTGGGCTAGGTGATGTTACATTGAAGGAATTGTAGTCATTGTGATGAAAAGAAGTATGTGATTTGTTGGATGTACAACTGATAATCCACTCTGTAAGCTTTCACTCAATTGACAGTAAATATTCTTTTATTTTTAAAAGAAAGATATACAAGGTACCCAGAATAGCCAAAATAATCTTTAAGAAGAGCAAAGTTGAAGGACTCACAATTCTAATTCCAAAACTCTGGTTCAAGATACTGTGGTACTGGTAAAAGGCCAGACATGGATCAGAGGTATACACTCTATTAATAAAATGAGTCCAGAAGAATGAGCAATTGATTTTTGGCAAGGTGCTTAAAACAATAAAATGGAGAAAGAGTAGTCTTGTCAACAAATCGTGTGAGGAAAACTGAATATCCATATCCAATAGAATGAGTCTGAACCCTACTTCACCCCATATACAAAAAATAATGCAAAGTGCATGAAAGACCTAATATAAGAGCTAAAACTGTAAGGCCCTTAAAGGAAAATATATAAAACTTTGTGACTTGGGATTACGCAGCAGTTTCTTAGATAGGACAACTAAAGCACGAGCAATCAAAGAAAAAATGATAAATTGAACTTTATCAAAATTTAAAACTCTTGTGCAACAAAGTACACCACCAAAGACATGAACAGCCAATCCACAAGACAAGGAGAGAAATTTTGCAAATCATGGATCTGATGTGTATCTAGTATACAAATGTATAAAGGTTTCTTGTTGTTCTGTTGTTGTTAAGTGCCATTTAGTCAGTTCCAACCCATAGTGACCCTGGATAGGGTTTCTGAAGAGCAGCTGGTGGGCTTGAACTGCCAACCTTGCAATTAAACTGACTTTGCAGTCCAGTGCATTAACCCACAGCGCCACACCAGAACTCCATAAAGGTCTCTTGCTACTTATTAATTAAAAACAATTCATAAAGTGGACAGATTACTTAAACAAATATTTCTCCAAAGAAGATATATGTATTTATAGCTCAATTACAAATATTGCTTTATTGGAAGATTCTTACTTCCTATCGTCAGGATAATTTAAGAAGTCGAAGTATATAAATTGGATTCTGTTGGGAAAACTTAGTTACATGGCTACTCCTAGTTCCAAGTATAGGGAGAAATGGAGTCCAGCCATCACTCTGCCACACTGGAGGAAGAGAATGGATTTAGACAACTAGCAGCCTTCATCGCAGCAGCAAATCTGGAATTATAACTCAGACCTTTGATTCTTGGTCCAATTTCTTTTCACCATGCCATCTGTCTCTCTAAGGAGACTCATTTCATAAGTGTAATTAAGCAAGCTGCTGAAAATAGGCCTGTTTCTAAAACTAAAATAAGATTTGCCTGCTAACATTGGGACTATATAACCTAGGAAATGACTAAGCATTTATCCCTTCATGTTTGCAAAGTTTGCCCTGTTGAGGAAAGAATCCTTGTGTGTGCAAATATAGGTATATCTTTAAAAGTTTCAGGAAATTTCCAGGGTATTAGAATTGTATAATATTCTTTTAAGACGTGTAGCTGACAATGGCCTTTTGCATTTTTATGAACAAAGGTGTCATTCATCATCCCTGACTGGCACCCACAGGTTCAGGTAAACCTAGATCTGTATTACTGGTGTGACACCATCTTTGTGTGGAGTGTGCCACACTGTTCTAGAACCCCAAGTATTCAAAGGCGTCTTGGCTATTAGTTGGAGTTAGCATAGCTCCCTTCTCCTTTTGTTGCTAGCAAGGATTAGGAATCATGCTTGCATTTCATTATTATTATTTTTTTTAAGTTTTAAAAATTCGAAGGGATTATTAATACTTATTAAACCAGAAAAGATAAGTTACAATGTATAGGCATAGAATGGATGTAGGAAATATATACTTACGTTTTGGAGTTCTGAAAATTGGTAGTGTAGGAGCAGAGAAATCAAAAGCTATTTTAGCAGCCAGCTGGGTAATTTTAATGGCTAAGAGTGTGACTATGGGGTATTGAGTGTTTTGTTCGGTACTGTCAAGTTGGTTCTGACTTCTAGTGACGTTATGTATAACAGGACAAAACTTAGCTTAGTCCTACACCATCCTCACCATCGGTCCTATGTTTGAGCATGTTGTTGCAACCACTGTGTGAATTCCATCTTTTGAAGATCTTCTTTTCTGCTGACGCTCTACTTTTCCAAGCATGATTCTTCTCCAGGGACTGATCTGTCATGATAATATGCTCAAATACATGAGGTGAAGTTTCATTATACTTGCTTCTAAGGAGAATGCTGCTTGTCTGTCTTCCAAGAGACAGGTGTTCATTCTTCTGTCAGTCCATGACATAGTCAGTGTTCTTCACCAACTCTATACTTCAAATGTATCAATTCTTCTTTGGTCTTCCTAACTCATTGTTCACCTTTCGCATGTATGTGGTGTTGTTTGGTGCTGTCAAGTTGGTTCTGACTCATAGCAACTCTGTATAGGGTTTCTGAGGCTTTAAAAATCTTTGCAGGAACAGAAAATCTCATTTTTCTTCCCTAGAGTGGCTGGTGGGCTTGAACCACCAATCTTGTGGTTCACAGTTCAGTACTTATCCTATGGAGCCACGATGCATATGTTGTTGTTGTTGCTGTTAAGTGGCATCAAGTTGGTTCCTATTCATAGTGACCCTGTGTAGGGTTTCTAAGGAGCTGCTGGTGAGTTTGGCCAACCTTGTGGTTCACCTGACCTTGTTATCCAGTGCTTTATCCTACAGCCCCACACCAGAATTCCATTCATGTGAGAGAATTAAAAATACCCTGATTTGGGTCAGGTGCACCTTAGTCCTCAAAGTAACATCTTTAAATATGCTTTTGAATACATTAAAGAAGACTTTCATAGCAGATTTTCCCAGAGTAATACATCATTTGATTTCTTGACTGCTGCTTCCATGCACATGGATCTAAGTAAAATGAAATCCTTCACAACTTCAAGCTTTTCTCTATTTAGCATGATGCTTTGTTTTGGTCCAGTTGTAAGGATTTTTGTTTTCTTTATGGTGAGGTGTCATCCATACTGAAGGCTGTAGTCTTGATCTTCATGACTTTCATCCAGCAAAGTTGTGTGATCTGCATATACTGTTAAAATACAGCAACAACAACACTTAGAAATTTAGAACCCATACTGAAAAATCCACTTAAGCCCTTTTCCTGGCTAAATTAATTCTGGATGCTATCAGTTAGCAGCAGCCTCCTGACTAAAGCATACTATGGTGATACGCAGTAAGAAGGTTTAAACTTGACATAGATGATACCAAAGGAAAAAATACAAGAAAAAAACAAATTATTTGAACAGAAAGATGTTCTTAGCCCTTGTATTTCCAGAAGGAAAAAACCTGGAAATCATTCTAATGTTTAATATTTGGAGATTGATTCCTTAAACTGTGATATAACTATTTAACAATTTAAAGCACAAACCATATAGGAAGTACCAGAGTATGGAATTATACATGTGTGAAAATTAAATGAGGGCTAAGTCAGTGGTTCGAAACTACCAGCCGCTCCGCGGGAGAAAGATGAGGCTTTCTACTCCCGTAAAGATTTACACCTTCGGAAACCCTGTACAGGGTCGTTATGGGTCGGACCCGACTCGATGGCACTTAACAACAACAACAACAAGTACAAAAGAGTAAATGTATATTAATTACAATATGTGTTAACATAATTTAGAAAGGAATTCAGAGTGATGTGAATAATCTGGATCACAGATTTTCCATTCCTCCCTGAAAAGTATCGTAAATTCACCATGAAGAAAAAAAAAATGCAAGTCACCTCCTCCAAGGTCATCAGTAAACTATTTAGTTGTCCTTTGGATTAATTCTGTTTGAGCATGAGGATGACATCCCTTCACATACAGTCCATAAAGCAATGTCTGACTTCTCAGGGATCTTGGGGTAAGAGTAGAGATTTCTCGTTGCTGGGCAACAGTTTCTCTCTGGTTTAGGTGTCAATTCCAGATCTAGTAAAATAATGGTTTGTTTAATCCTAATCAAAGTCCCAAATTTATCCAGTTTGCTTTAAGAACAAAGGCCTGTAATTTCTTTAGATCTAGACAGTCTAGATCAAACAATGCCACTTGTGTTTAATGTCTTCCCCTGAATCAGGTGATGCAGGCCCAGTGTGTCAAAACAGAAACTGAATTCTACCTCCGAAGTAGAAGCGAGATAGAGAATGGAGAAGGCCACACAATGGGAGCACTTTATTGGCAACTGAATGACATCTGGCAGGCTCCTTCCTGGGCTTCTGTAGGTAAGCATTCCAACATTCTTTGTGTGAGTGAGGGAAAGTAATACCTGTGGGGAGAGGGTTGCAGAAATACATTGCCTGGGGGAAGAAATTAACCCAAGCTCTAGTAGGCTTAAAGAAGCAGTTCTGAACCAAGTCTGGGAATGCAACCACCCCACCCCTTTAAGAGTCTTTCTTTGAGGCCTTGGAGACAGCTTAATTATGAGTTCTATGCTGTGCAAAGTCATTACAGCAGGCTGACAAGGGGACTGATTTATATACAAAGATCTTAGTCACATGTCTTATAATTATTGCTCATTGGGGGTCTAAACATGATCTAAAGCAAAGTTGAGTTCAAAATATAAACAATAGTTTTGGGTCAAACATGAAGCAAAGTAAAAAAGTAATTTTTATTGGTGATGCTCTTAGCCCAGCCCTGAATACAAATCCTAAGTGTTCATGCCAAACATTCCTTGGTTAATGTCAAATGAATGCTTCTTTCAGGGAATTGGAGTTTTTATCAGGTTTCTTAGACCAAATTCTTTATCAGCATCAACCAGATAAAAGGGTATTGAATGTGAACCAGTGAATGGATGATGTGGGAAGAGTCTTCCAGTGTGCTGGATACTCAGTAAAGAGCTATTGTTTAGAGATACTTGGACACCTATCCTCCTTTCTGTCTATGGATAAACTTTTTTTTTTAAAGCTTTTATTGTGAATTGAGTGATAGTTTACATGGGAGAACATCAGTTTTGCACTCATCCTATCATGCTTTGTTTCATTGCAACGATTACAATCGCCTCCTTGCATCATCATTTAACAGTATTTGCTTCTATTCCCTCTGTTGTCTTTTGCTTTTTGATGTACACAAAAACACTCAGGAATATATAAGCATTTAAACAACCAAAGGGCACATTCTACAAGCCAACCTCCCAGCCACCAGCATACAGCCTTTCTCTTTCCATGAGTCCAGAGTTTTAAGCTGCTCAATCTCTCCATGATATCAACCTTTGCCTGGTGTTGCTGTTTCTCTGGTTAGGGTCCCACGTTCCATTAATGCTCTTCTCCCTTGATGGTACTAGGCTCATCTGTTCCTGGATTGTAAGACTAACTAATATCCCCTTTTTGCTACACACTTCTATCTTTACAGCTGTAACAATTGCAATTAGTCATGATAACAATTACTCACTATTGAATCAAAAGATTCTTATCCCCATCTCCTTTCATCAGACCTGTCTAGACAACATTAAAATTATTCAGTGGGGATTCTGCTTTCCCCACACACTCTAAAACTAAACTTCCTGTTGAAAATTTGTAAGCCAGTCACTTTGTCCTTTATAGCATTCCCATTATAGGTAGCTAGTGTCTAACTTGCCTGTCCCTATCAACCCTGTATACCAAGAAGACAGACTTGATCCTTGAGGTGAAGACTCCTTCCCTCTTAGTTGGTATTTTGAGCTACTACATCCATAAGTATTGGTCAAGTTCATCAAATTGTAGCAATTTACACTTGCTTCATTTATCAAATGTCTTTATCTTCCTCTAGTTGAGCTAAGGTCATTAAGCCATCAAGACCACATGGCTTAATATGCCAGGAATGACAAATTGAAGAGGAATGATGTTGCATTCATTGTCAAAAAGAACATATCCAGATCAATCATGAGGTACAACACTGTCTGTGATAGGATACTATCCATGTGCCTACAGGGAAGCCCAGTTAATACCACTATTATTCAAATTTATGCACCAACCACTAATGCCAGTAAGGATGAAATAGAAGAATTCTACCAACTTCTTCAATCTGAAATTGATCAAACATGTAATCAAGATGTATTTATTGATCATTACTAGTGGTTGGAATGCAAAGGTTGGGAGCAAAGAGGAAGGATCAGTAGTTGGAAAATATGGCTTTGGTGATAGAAATGATGCTGCAGAATGCATGATAGAATTCTGCAAAATCAATAATTTGTTCATTTCAAATACCTTCTTTAGACAGCATAAGAGATGAATATACACATGGACCTCACCAGATGGAATACATAGAAATCAAATTGAGTACATCTGTGGAGAGAGATGATGGAAGAGCTCTATATCATCAGTCAAAACAAGGCCAGGGGCAGACTGTGGAATAGACTATCAATTACTTGTATGCAAATTCAAACTGAAACTGAAGAAAATGAAAACAAGTCCATGAGAGCCAAAATATAACCTTGAATATATCCCACCTGAATTTAGAGATCATCTGAAGAACAGATTTGGTACATTAAACACTAAAGACCAAAGACCAGAAGAGTTGTGGGATGACATCAAGAACATCATACATGAAGAAAGCAAAAAGTCATTAAGAAGACA